GCATTAGAGGCTTCAGTGTTCGTACTATTGAGAGATTTTGTGCCAGTGGCGGATCTAAGGGTGGGCCTGGCTGGGCCAGGCCCACCCAAAAATTTTGTGCAATAATTTAAAATTAACTTTTTAATGTAAACTACTATGTAAACTGTGAAGCATGACTATAAAAACAATTTGTAAACCACAAAGGAGCTCATTTTAACTGGCTAAATCTTCAAAATTTTGACTTTCAATGCAGGATTTGTTGGCCACACCCACTAATTAGCCCACCTACATCATCAGTGCCCACCCAAAAATTCAATCCTAGATCCGCCACTGAGTACTCTTAGTCATGTCATCAAGGACACAGCTATTAGTTCTATTGTTCTTGGTTCCTTTAGAAATGTTGGAGGGGTAGTGCCCTGTACTGCTGGCATCATTCCTTATAAACTACAACACAGGACACTGGGTAACATCATTCTTCATGATTTTGCTGGTCATTCAGAATACTACTCCAGTCACAGTGCTGTGATTGAGAATCTGTTACAAGGTTCTGGTGGTGTGTTCCTGATAGTAGTGAATATATTGGAGAAGGAAGCAGTCAAACAGCTTCATCAGTGGCTAACAGTTGTGAGAAATGAAGCACAGAAAGCTCTTAATGAATGCCATGTTATTGTAATAGTCAGTCATGTGGATGAGATAAGTAATCCTGTTGAAAGGAGAAGGAGAAAGGAAGAAATGCAGGAGATTATGGTAAGGGAAAAGTGTGATAGCGTCTTCTTAGATTGTCGTAAGCTTGGTGGGAGTGGTGTGGATTCCTTCTTTAATAAGTTGTGTAGTGCCTGTGAGTCGATTCGTAGTACAAGTGGAAGGAATTTGAGTCTTTATTGCCACATGATGTATGGTCTACTGGAGGAAAGGAAAGAGAATATACTGACCCTCTCTGATGTAATGTCTGCTGGTAAGGACAATGATGATTACTTTATACCAGATAAGAGAGAAGACGTCTTGGATGTTCTTGATTCGTTGCACTCAATTGGTTTGATGAGTGTTCTTAAAAGTGAAGAGAAGGTATGGGTTGTTGTGAATAAGGGTATACTACTAACTGAGGTGGATGGGATTCTCTTTGCTCCAGAGACATTCAAAGAACACGTTGACATTGCTAGCAATACTGGTATTGTTAGTGTGTCTGGTCTGACTAGACTCTTCCCTAAATATGATCCTGACATGTTGATTCGTTTTCTAAAGAACATGGAACTCTGTGAAGAGATTAATCCATCTTTCCTAAGAATGACAAACCTCCATGAGTTAAGAGTGGAAGAGGAGGAGGAGGGAGGGAGAGAAAGAAG